TGTAGAGTTATTGTTAGAAGCTAGGTTTTTGCCTTTGTTGTTTGTAGACATGCTAATCTATTGATCAGGAAGTTTGTCAAAATAGTAATGAGTTCAGAGTAATTTTGTAGTATCTACTAATTGTTGACGAGATGTAATTGAGAAGGTAAGTGAATGTTTAACTATAATAGTTGTTCTCTCAGGTAAATGGGGTTTGTTAGTTGGATTAGCTATCATTATAAGCATTGAAATTGAGAATATAATTTTGTATTTTTTAACTGCTTGTTTATAAAACTCTAGCAGTTTTGTCATCTGTGATAGGGTAAATAAATTCTGTATTAGTATTAATTTTTGTGATGTTATATGGTAATAGTAGTCTGCTAACAAAGTAGTCATTTGGTATTATTTTAAAAGCATAATCTTTTTGTAATAGGGTAACAATTTTAGTAAAATTGATTTCTGGATCATTGGTATTTTTGAGAAGAGTGCTCTCAAAGTGTGGTTGAGCTTATGGTAAATACTTGGTAATAGGGCTTTTGGTGCAAATAGATCAAAGTATGTTTCTGGTAGATTACCCTTGAAGTTATAAAAATTGCAGAGTTTGTTACGATAGAAAGATAAGTAGTTAAGATCTTTTTGTTTATTAATTAGGAACAATTTTTTTAGCTCTTGATCAAGATCGATAGGATTATTTGAAAGAGATAGTAGTTTGATGAAGTAAGTTTTTAGAAGTTGTGTAAAGGAGAAAATTTTTCTTAATACCATGACTGTTCTTTTTGTGTTATTACGATTGACAATTAGGAGTTTGAATAGTAGTAGTTTCTTCATTTCATTGAAAATCATAGAGAGGTCACTAGGTAATAGTATAAGGAGAGATGTTTGTGCTTTGTTAACAGCTTGTTTTAGGTTATTCCATTCAATTTTGTTCAATTGTAAAAATTCTCTACAGTATTGAATAATTTTGGATATGTTGAAGTTGTTTAGATATGTGAAGTTGCTGTTGAGTAAAAATTAAATGGTTAGGTGTGTTTTGAGCATTTTTGTAATCATATTTCTGGTTTCTCAATTGATGATTATGATATTGTTAGTATGTTTGTAAGTATTAGTCGCAGTGATTAGCATGTTCTTGAATTCTTTTTGATGTGCAGGAATGATTTGTTTGTTGCAAGTAAAAGATATAAAGAATTGGGTGTCAAGGTGTTTAAATTTAAGAAGTATTGCTAGTAGTATAGTATATAGAGTTAGTTAGGTTTGGAGTTTGTATACTACAAATTCTTAAATTTCTTTAAGTAATTCTAAGGATTTAGCTATGCGATCATAGTGCCAAGCAGTTGTGTCAAAATCAATAAGGTTAGATTTTATGTTGTTCATGAGCTTATCTGACCATGTGTTACTGTCATCTCTATTATCAATATAGAGTCTTGAGGTTGAGCTGGAGTTGTTTTGTAGAGTTTGACTATAAGAGGGTTTAGTATATTCAGTTTCAGATTGTATTTCTATTTGGTCATCCTTTGAAAGTTCTTCTTCTATTTCATTGTTATTCATTAGTGTGTCATGTGTTTTAATAGAAGAGGGTGATACTAGTTGATCAGTATGTATTTGATGTTGTGTTAGAGATACGTATTGGGTGTCTGTATCATCTTCCATTTGGTTAGCCTATGATTGAAGTAGTTCTATATTATATTGATTCTCGTTTTGTGTTTCCTTGCTTCTTGTATTGTGCTTAGTTGTATCAGAGTTTGTACTAGGTTTTTCATAGTTTTTATGCTCATTGGGAGTAGTCTGTATTTTGTTTATTGAGCTAGTGTTATTACTATTAGCATTATTTGTGTTATTAGTAGATGTACTACTAGTTTCAAGAGAGAGTGCACGAGTATTTGGCTGAGTGGTAGTAGAAGTATTAGTAGTATTAGTAAAATTTTTGTAGAATAGTGTTGGAAGTGCTGATGTATTTTCTTGTTCATTCACTTTGAGGTATTGTGTTTTTGTTTGGGTGTAGGCTTTGACGAGGGAGGAGTTATGAGTTTCACTAGTTAAAATTTTTATTGCAAAGATTGTAGTTACATTTTGGTTTCTAACTTTTTTAAGTATAAAGAGAAGTGTGTTAGTTTTACTAGTATGTATCTAATATTTTAGAAATTGTATGATATTATTAATGATAGTGGATTTTTGTGCATTGATATAGTAGGTATGTGCATTGTTAGAAAGTTCTAGAGTAAAATAAACTCAGAAGGTTAGTTCATCAGCATTATACGTTACAATATCAAGAACATGTTTAGCTAGTTCGTTGTTATTTATTGTATTGCTTTGTTGAGACATGTAGTTCGTGTTTGAAGTCTTAATATCCAGAGTATTGTTATTGTTGTTGTTTTCATTATTATTTGTTATATTGTTAGAACTAATGTTATCAACAAGATGATGTTTTTTCGTTCTTCCTCTGTTCCCTATAGTTGAAGATATAATATTTGTGTAGTTGGTTTTAGGAGTTAGTAGTTATCTTTTAAGTGAGTTGTTATCTTTTTTATTTAGGCCTTCCCAAAAGGAAGAGTTTTCAGTGTTAGTTGTATAGTTGTTTTTTCTTTTTTCTGTTTTCCACAGTATGGTTGTTAAGCAGTATAGGAAAGAGTTTCTTTTTATTTTTTGATTTACTAAATGAATGAGAATTAATATAATTTGTATTTGATATATTTAAAAGAGAATGTAATAGTTCTTTAGAAATCACAGAGTTAAGATATTCATCTTCTAAAGATTTATTTTTATTATCAGCAGATAGAAAATAAAAGCGTTTATTAGATTGTTTAAAAAAATGATTTTTTAGAGCTTGTTGTTTTTCAATATTAATTTGTTGATAATGCTCAATATAGTCATTAGGTTCAATTGATTCAATTGAAGGTGAGCATGTTAATAAATGGAAGATGAGCATTGTTGTTAATAGATTAAAGATGAGCATTGTTGTTGATAGATTGAAGATGAGCGTTGTTGTTAATAGATTAAAGATGAGCATTGTTGTTGATAGATTGAAAGTAAGTATTGTTAATAGATTAAAAGTAAATGTTGTTGTTAATAGATTGAAAGTAAGCATTGTTGTTGATAGATTGAAAGTAAGTGTTGTCAATAAGATGAAGATGAGTATTGTTGATGAGATAAAAGTAAGTGTAAGCATTGTCGATGAAATGAAAGTGAGTTATTTTGTAATAGCACTTTATATTAGTATCTAGTAGCATTTGTTAATATTGAAGATTCGATACTATTATTTTGAAATGGTTTTTGTAACTCTTGTGTCTCTAGATTAATATTATTATTTTGAAGTAGTTCTTATAACTCTTGTGCTTCTAGATTAATATTATTATTTTGAAGTAGTTCTTGTAACTCTTGTGTCTCTAAATTAACATTATTATTTTGAAGTGGTTCTTGTAACTTTTGTGCCTCTAGATTAACATTAATATTTTCTTTTAAAAAATTAAAAAATTAATCTTATTTTTTATTATAAATATAAGAAACTATTTTGTTTTATTAAAAATAAAAAACCATTAGTATATCTTTAATTTTTGTTTGATGTGTTGTTCATTGTCTTTTTGTTCTTAAAATATTCTGTTCTTGTTGTATAACCTTTGCTTTTGTACTTCTTGCTACACTTTTAGCTACAAAAAAAAAGTTTTCAACTTAATAGTCAATATAGCCTATTATGTAAAAATAAAATATCAATATTTACAAGAGTTTGACTTTTGTGCTATTTTTGGTATAAAGATTCAAAGATTCTAAAGAGAAGATAACTAAAAAAGTCAAGTTATTTATATTTAATCAATATGCAATCAAAATTAATGCAAAATTTTATCTTACTAGTAGAATATGATCAATTTTAATATATTTACTATACAATGCATGATTATAACTATTTAATTATACAATTATCTAATTTAATATATTTACTATACAGTGCTATGATTATAACTATTTAATTATCTGTTATAAGATTATTTAATTTAATTTTATAACTACATACAATAAATTTATAGTAATACAGTATAAAATTACTAAATTTTAAAATATATATATTTTAACTTGTTAAATTAAAAGAATAGAGTAGCTGAAGTGTCAAAAAGTGAATCAACATGAATAGCAGAAAAGTTTTCTGCAAAAAAAGACAGTATCATAATATACCAGATTAATCAGAAAATATATTTTGTTTTTACAAAATATTATTTAAAGCAAAATTATAAAGTGCGAAAGGTAATTGATTTTTTTTTTTTGTCTTTCAACTATTACCTAAAAAAATTATTATTAGTATTTTATTTATTATACAGTATATTAATATTAATAAAATTACCTTTGATTTGGTTAATAAAAGCTATCTATTCTTCTTTGCAAAAGTTCTCAAGCCAAGTTATCATTATATTATCAACTAAGTCTAAAGTAGTCTAATTGTTATTTAATATTTTAAATAATTGCATTAATCTTAGGCCTGCTATGGTAAATGTATTGAGTTTTCTTAATGCAATTTTACCTGAAAATCTGGGAATATTTATTAAAATATTATCTGATTCTATACTTCTTTTTCTCTTTTTTTTGTAGGCTATATGTTTAATATTGAACAGGTCAGATTTCATTGAGTTTATTTCAAAGAGTTGATCAATTGAGGTTTTATCAATCAAAAGTAAACGCACTTGCATTGCCAATTTCATGCCTTTGGATCTAGTAGCAAATTTGAAACCCATTCCTTCAAGAAGGTATAGGCTTCTTTAAATTTATATAAGAATCTTAAGGATATGCATCTTGTCACCTCCAAATAATATGAACTAATATCAACTTTATGAATTGATTGATAACATGTTGTCATAAGTGTTGAGAATATTGATATTTGGTTAGATACTTCAGTATTATAATTTAAAAAATAATTAATACTAAGACTAGATGGTAGTTCTGGTAACCTTCTTAATAATAAGATTTCATCTTGTATATTTTTAGCTTCTTCTATTAATTGAGATATTTCTTGTTCTTCTATTAATGGAGTTACTTCTTGTTCTTAGAATAGATTCAGTTTGAGAGCTTTATGGATTAATGAGGTATCAAATTAAACTGAATAGGTAGAGTTTCTTTGTTGGATTACTATTTTCAGAAAATCTATTATGTTCCTGTAGTATTCTATTTTTTGGACCTCAGAATTGGGGTCAAAAAATGGAGCTACTACAGGCAATTCACTTTGCAAAAAAAGAAACAATATAAATTAGCTGTTTTAAGCTTATTAATATTTAAAAGTCCATTTTTTTAGAAATTTTCATATTCAGCATAAAAACCCAAAGTATCTGTTGGATTAATATCATCCTGGTTTGTACGTATGAATTTTGGCCATTCGAAATTATTGATCACTTCTTTAATTACTTTATAATTTGCTAGTTCAAGAGTGATTTATCTATTTTCATTCTTTAATACTACTTTTCCTTTTTCGGAAAATACTTCGATCTTTTTCAAATTAGATCTGAGTGCTACTATACTTAGTACTAAACTACAATTTACAATGTTAAATTAAATTCTTTTGCCATTTGTTGAAATTTTGTAGACTCAAAACTGTATGGTGATAAAATTTGTTTCGCAGTTTTAATCATTAATTAATTAATTTTTTTAGTTAATTTTTTTAATTAATTTTTTTTTTAATTTTTTTAATTTTTTTTTTATTTATTTACTATATATATACCACTATTTCTTGATGTTTCACATTTACATTTTTTCTTTCTCCTTTTTTCTATAATACTAGTTTCTTCATCCTCTATCTCATAAAATTCTGCTCTATCTATCTGGTCTGCTCCTTCAATATCTCTTCTATACATTTCATTGACTTCCTCTTCAGCTTTATAGTCTATCTTTCCTTTATATATTTCATTGACTTTCTCTTCATAGTCATTCTCTATCATATTAGTATCTTCTTCTTTATTATTACTTTTTTCACTATTCTCCTTCTCTGAATTTCGATTATTATCATTACCTAAATTCTGCTCAATTTCATCTTTTTAACTACAAATGAATTAGTTATATAAGCAAATATAAACAGTATAGCATATTATATTAATTAATTTATACTTTCGTTCAATAGCACCTTTAGTTCATCAAATTTGACCTTATATTTGTCATTTTCTTGACTAAGCACTTCACTAACTTCAAATACCATATCTAGTTTGTTAGCTACCTCACTTTTAAGATCTGTCATATCTTTACTTGATTCTATAATTTGAAAATTAAAAGATCTTTTGGTTTTGTCTGAGTACATAATTATAACCTTATTTCTTGTAAATTCAATTAGCTGAATCTGTTCATTCGAATAGTATAAGGACAGTAAGTATATACATTACATTACGTTAATATTATAGCATGCTAAAAAAAAAAAAATTTAAAAAAATTAATTAATTATAATAATTATTAAAACACTAAATAATTTAACAAAAACTGAATTCAGTTTTTGCTAAAAAAAAAATTAATTATAATAATTAAAATACTAAATAATTTAACAAAAACCGAATTCAGTTTTTGCTAAAAAAATAAAATTACCATAATTTTTTTGTTTTAAGATTTATTACAAAATTAAGAAAAAAGAGTATGAATTTATATATAAAAAGAAGGAATTAATCAGGAATTAAATATTAAAATGAGGTAAGATTTAAAGAAATTAAACGATAAAATTATATAATTATGTATTATATTTAAGTATATATAAGTGTAAAATTGGTTCAAACTTATATTTTATACTACATATACAATTCTTAATATTGTAACTATATTAATTGTATAAAAAAGCTTAATTAAAAATTTTGTGTAATTATATTTGTATAATTATATTTGAATAATTATATTTGCATAATTGAAGCTTTTTACAGGTTATATATTAACAAAAAATGAATTCGTTTTTTGTTAAAATAGTAAATTACTAATTTTTTGAATTTTAACAAAAAACGAATTCGTTTTTTGTTAAAATTAGTAAATTACTAATTATTATTATTTTTTTTTGAATTTTTACAAAAAACGAATTCATTTTTTGTTAAAATTAGTAAATTACTGATTATTTTTTTTTATTTTTTAAATTTTAACAATAAACGAACTCGTTTTTTGTTAAAATTTGTAAATTAATGTTTTTTTTTTTAAATTTTAACAAAAAATAAATTCATTTTTTGTTAAATTAATTAATTAAAATAAAAAATATATAACAAGTAGGCATATGAAGGGTTTAACTTAAATACAATATATATTGGTTAATTAGGCCATTCATATAATCTCTTTCTCTTATTAGATGCTTTCTAAAAATTGAACAACTTATAAAATTCTTTCAATAGCATAATTTGTATTAACTAATAAAATTAGTCTATACTATTTATGCAATAAAGTATTTACTCAGAAGTTTTTATATGTCATACAAGTAGTATAATTGAGTAAAAAGTAATAAAAGTCAAATAGAAATGATACTAAATAAATATAAAAGACAAAATTAATAAAAATTAGTT